AACTTACATATTCGTCAATCGTAACTTTCCATTCACGATGTGATGATTTTTCACATTCATTGAATTGATTGTAAATTGATTCATCACATTGTAATGATTTTGGTAGACCATAAACCGATTTATATGCAAATCTTACTGTATCAAATTCAATTTGATCATCATTCATATCAAATACTATTAAGGAATCATCACCATTGACCATCCATACATTAACAACAACGAACATCATCATCAACAACAAGTGCGAAAATAGTCGTTGGCTATCTGTATCCATTAAATCGAATAGTTTTTTTTTTGAATGAAAAAGAAATAAAATCAAAACAAGAATAATATCGATAGCTAAAGGAAATTTATATAAAATTTTAGACCATTTTTTTTAAATTTTTGTTTTGTTTTTCGAAAAAATTTTTATTAAATCAAGTAAATTCGTTTATCGTTTTAACAGTCAAAAAAAAAATATAATACAAAAATCAAAATTCTTGAAATGAATAGCCAACAACAATTTTTCCAAGAAAATTTCATTATTATTTTTGACTATGGCATTTTTACATTAGGATCAATATTGATTTTATCCAAATTGACAATAATATTTGTTAAATTGGTTAAATTTTTATTTGTATTTGTTGGATCTTTAACTAAATTGATCGTTGCTTGATCAGATTGTGATGGTTGTTGTGATGGTTGTGATTGATTATCAGTTGTTGTTGTTTCTAATGGTATTGATCTTTTTTTCTTTCTACCTACATAAGGAGATGCTGATGGTGATGAATCTGATGATGATGGTGTTTCGTAATTTTTATATGCTGTAAACTTTCGAAAAAATTGTTTGTTTTTGTCTGGTTGTGGTAGTGAATGTTCATATCTTGATTGTGTTGGCGATGATGATGATGTTGAATATCTTGATGGCGATGATGAATATTCAAATCTTGATGGTGATGATGATGACGATGATGAATCTTTTTTCGATGAAAATGGTGATGATGATGATGATGATGATGACGCCGATTCGTATTTGGGTGGTTCTCTATATGTAGAGAATGATGATGATTCGTATTTGGATGAAGATTGCCCATATTTCGAAGATGAAGCAAATGGTGATGACGATTCGTATTTGGATGAAGATTGTCCATATTTCGAAGATGAAGCAAATGGTGATGATGATGAATCTTTTTTCGATGAAAATGGTGATTTTGATGATGATGGTTCATATTTTGATGTTGATGGTTCATATTTTGCTCTTTTGTCAGCTGGTGGTGATGATGTTGGTGAGCTTTGTCGAGAATCACTCAAAGACAAACGACCAAATAAATTTGATAATTTTTTATCAGTTTCTTTATCTTTTGGTGGTTTTTGTAAATGTAGTGTATCAATTTTTGCTGGTACTGGTGTTTCAACTATTGATATTTCTACTGGTTTTTCATTGTTCATATTGATCATTGTTGATTGTTGTTGTGCTGATGATGGTATAAAAGTTCTGTGCTCCGGTGGCCGTGGTTCCAAAATATCATGAATTGGTACATCATTCTTTTTTACATCAGTCGGTGGACCAATATCTTTAGCTGTTAATTCTGGTTTTTTCGATGTTGAAAAGAGATTGGAAAACCATTTTTTANTTTCTTTTGGTGGTTTTTGTACATGTAGTGTATCAATTTTTTCTATTACTGGTGTTTCAACTATTGATATTTCTACTGGTTTTTCATTGTTCATATTGATCATTGTTGATTGTTGTTGTGCTGATGATGGTATAAAAGTTCTGTGCTCCGGTGGCCGTGATTCCAAAATATCAGAAATTGGTACATCATTCTTTTTTACATCAGTCGGTGGACCAATATCTTTAGCTGTTAATTCTGGTTTTTTCGATGTTGAAAAGAGATTGGAAAACCATTTTTTAACAGTACCTTGTTTTTCAACATTTTGAATAGGTTTATCGATTGAATCGGCAGTTGTTGGAATTTCATTAGATTGAAGTGTTTTTACATTTATTTGTGATTCTGGATTGGATTCTTTATATCCATATACTTCAATATTTTCGACATTATTAGATGCTATTTTTGGAATTCCTTTTTTTAATTTTGCTAATTCAATTTTTTTACTAAAAAAAACAAATTGGTTGATTTGATGAGAAAATTGTGTTGAATAAAGAATTTTTTCAAGAATAAAACTTACTT